CTGGGAGCATAGTTTGGAAAAAGAGCTGGCATCTAGTTCGGCACCACAGAAGGCTCTTTTCTTGGGGCTGGGGAAATGGCTCAGTTGGTAAAGGACTTGTCATGTAAGCATGATGACCTGCGTTCAAATCCCCAGCACCCATGTAAAAAGCTGGAAGTGGAGGCACACCCCTGTAATCCCTGCACTGGAGAGGCAGAAAAAGGAAGATGCCTGGGGCCTTGGGGGCCAGCTAGTCTAGCCAAATCAGCGAGCTCTAGGTTCAATGAGAGACGCTGTCTAAAGAAAATAAGTTGGTGAGTGATAGACAAAAACACCCAGTGTCTACCACCGGCCTCCACATGTACATGTACACACATGCACGTACACCTGCACAGACACACACATGCACACACACTCACAAAAGAAGGTTATTTTCTTAATCTGCCCATGGGTCAGACTCACCCTAGACAGAGGCAGAATCAAGGGAATTCAAAGGTACTAAACCAGGGCGTATAACACTGGCCACTCTCTCTGCCAGTCAACTTCAACTGGAAAATGAGAAGGTCAGACCAGATGAGCTCTGAAGGTAGCAGCCGAGTAGAGGTTTTAGAACTGGTTTTAGCCCAGCACCTTCTACCGTTTGGCTATACAGACTCACATTCATCGCCCCACCTCTCTGGGGGTCTCCTCAGCTGTAAAAACAGTGTTAATGACACCTAACTAAAAAGGCCATTGAGTGAATTAACAGGAACAGTAAGTGCTTGGTCCCAGGGAGGAGGCCTGTAGAAAGAGCCTCCCCTCCCCTCCTCTCTCTCTCTCTCTCCCTCCTTCCCTCCCCCCCTCCCTCCCTCCCCCTTCTCTCTGCCTCAGCTACTCCTACTTTGGCAGCGCTGTCTTCAATCATGACTATCTTTGACAAGCACACCTTTCTGAGCAGCGTCTCCTTCAGCCAGCTAACATCAGGACCAGCTTCTGTGGGATACTGTCCTTGACCATAAAAATCACAAAACTAGAGGCAGCTGTAGTGGGGAAAATGCTGAACTGGTGGAAAGTCGGAAAAACCACAGCTAACTGGAACTGCCAGAAGACCAGAAATAAAGCCGGAAAAGCCCTGAAAATTAAGGCCATTTCTTCAGTTATGGTGAGGAGACTTCATTCATAGCAATCAGAAGCAATCAACTGACCTCCCAGCAAACTCTACAAAGATGTCCAAGCTTTGGTTTGCTATAGGTGGTCAGATGACAAGGAACTCCTGGGCCATACCGATCAAACCTGGATAAGGTAAAGCCTACGGAAACTGCTGCAACTCATGCTCCAGAAAAACTTTTCAGAGCAGCAGCTTGAAGACGAAGAGGGTGAAGTCAAAGGGACGCCTCCAGAGACGAAGACGCGGGTGGAGAATAGTAAAGGGATACGTTAACATCATCTGGACCGAGCTCCTTTAATAAAGGAAAGCATGGGCTTTCTATAACCAGTTGTCGTGGGAACAAAACGTCAAATCTCATCCGGGAAATGTCTATGACCGACCGAGACATTTAAATGGTGTGTGTTGAAACTGGGGTGTGATACAGCTGTAAAGTTAAAAGGAACGGTTTTCCAGGTTTTGTTTCTAAAAGTTATAGATAATAAAGAAATCAGACATGGTACCTTTTTAAGAATTGCATATTTTTAGACACAGTTATTAGCACATTAAGAGGGAAGCAAAAAGTTACTGTCTATTCATAATTGTGAGCAGTTAGTCTCCGAACTTGACTCCTTCATTACCTAAACTGCCTCCCAGGAGCGCACACCTGTTTGAGTACGCGTGCATGTGGAGGTTCAATGTTAATGTCAGGAATCATCCTCCGGCTCTCTTCCAATCTCTTAACTCAGAGAGAGGTCTCTCAATCAAACCCAGAGCGCACCAACATAACTAGTCTTTGCTAGCCAGTTCGCTCTGGGGATCCCCTGTCTTCCTTCCAAGGCTGGGATTACAGGTGGGCAATCACACTTGCCCAGTATTTCCTCCTCTGGCCACTCTGTCGCTTCTCACCCTGCTTTTTTGTGGCATTATCACTGTTGAAATAAATTCAAACACAGACCAGCCCACATGGATCTGGGGATCCAAACTCTGGCCCTTACACCTGCCCAGCAAGTACTCTAACCACTTAGCCATCTCCCCAACTCAGCTCTTTCTTACAAAAGAAAGTCAACCTTTCGTAAAGCATAAATCTTTTTCAAAAACTTTTCTGTGAAGTATCAAGTATTTGAATCAGCCCACTTCACTTGAATGTAGCTTGTCCATCTTTGTTAGTCCTCAAAGCACATCGTTCACAACCAAAGCAAATCAGTATTCTGGATGTGCTTCTCCTGGTTTTTGTTCTCAGTTCCCATAAGTATTTTCATCATAACTTGAGGCAATTTCTAAAGAAGTTTCTTTTTTCAAATACAAGCCAGCACCAAAAATTTAAATGTACACATTGCTTTAAGTATTTGGTTGGTTTTCACTTTTTTTAAAAGGTTTAAATACCAAAACCAAAAGGGGTATAACTTTATACGAAGGCAAAAAACGAGGTGAACTTTCTGTGACTTTGTTGACATGTTTAAGTTACTAACTTGTAAGATGCAGTTTGAATTGAACACTACAAGATTTTTTTATTAATACAAATCCATGGCTTATTTTAAGTATGTGCATACTATTGACCAGTGGCTTAAAAGGTTCATTTTAATTATGAAATATGGACTTTTTAATGTGACAGTTAAATACATCTTTAAAAGTAGTTTCTTTGAAAATTACAATGTCAAATTTGACAAGCCAAGCTCTTTCAATAGCTAATAGCCTCTGAGAAGCAGCCTAAGAGCAGTCCTGACACTCACCTGTAAGTTTAGACTACGGCAGTGAGAACGAATGTAGCACTATCTTTATGTGGTTTAATTAGCTCTTGTTACATAAACTTAACTTTTATGTAGGCAAACTGTCCATTTTTTCCATCTCGCTGTTCATTAGAATCAAATCTCTCCTACATATTCTTGACTTGACTCAAATGAAATATTAACCTAATGTCAACATGAGGAGTGAGAAACCACTGGGATGAATGTCTTTACTAAAGCACCAATAAAGTTTGTCAAACAAAATAAAACGAAATAAAATAAAAAGAACATCACCAAGCTGGTCGCCTTCTCAGTGCCTTGTCTCCTGGCCACAGGAAAAGTGCCACTATTCAGCCCACTCACAGCCGGGCAGTTACATTATTCAGCTGGCCACAGAACAGGAGCAGACATCCCATAAACCGCTTCCGCTTCTGACTCACTGAAACTCTCCCCTTTGCTCTCGCCCCTCCCTTGGAGCCTATAGTGGAAAGATAGTGGCCTCACAGCTTGGAAGGTCCCTGCTACGTCAGACTATGGTGTGGGTGAGCCCAAGACCTTGGGGCTCCCTTCCTACTACCCCAGAAACCCAACTCTTGCAACTAAATCCAAGAGTCTGGTACTTCTCAAGGGATCCCTTCTAGAACAGGACTTCTTTGCCTGTTCCTCATCTCTGGGAGGTCCTCCCTCTCCTAATTCCCTCTCCTCAGGGAGTAGGGACCAGCCCCCCAACCCCGTGAAGTGGTCTTGATTCAACCCTCAAAACTCATATGTATGGTCCCTGCTAGGGTACAAGTCACTCTCCATGTGGTAAGTGTGGTAGCTGAGTCTTCCCAGGGAAGTCCTGGGGTCCCTCCTGCCATCCCATCCACTGCAGCTTCTTTCTCTGGGCCTCAGTTTCCACATACCACGTATCATAAAAGCCTTGGAATGCCATCCACGTGCTGACATTTGCAAGCCAAGAAATGCACATCTGAGAGGGACTGCCCTCAGAATGGTTGACCCTCGCCACTGCACCATGACCCAACCTCTAGCCTCTGCTAGTCCCATAAACTCTCCTATCTTTGTAAACACATTTTACTGGGTCTGGTCATTCTACCCCCACCTTCCCTTCTCCTGTTCCACTTGGCCATTTCTCTAGCACCACACCTCCTGAAGGCATCCTGTATCTATCTTCAAATCACTGGTGCTCCCACCCCTCTCTACCCCCACACCTGCATCCTGGCCCTCCTCCCAGGGCAGGGAGTTGTTTCTCTTATCAGCCCATTTACTGCCCCCTCCTCCTTGATTACACAGTCATTTGTGCAGAATTCCTGGCAAGACAAAGCAGTGACTGTCAGCTCCCAGTCAAGGGCTTATTGGACAGGAAGAAAGAAAGGGTCCTTAGGACTGTCTTGGAGACGGGTAGGGGCTGAGCAAACCGAAAGAAGCAGAAAGGACTCCAAAGGAAGGGAGGAGCCGGTGGCTAGAGAGTTTTGCATGTGACTAGAGGTCAGGGAGAGAAAAGTGAAAGAAAGCCAAGGCCAGCCCAGAAATACAGGAGAGGGATCAGACCACAGCCCTGAGGTCTGTGAAAAAGGACAAGGCCTGCTGCGGACCCAGCCACACCCTTCCTCAGCCCCCACCTACAGAACAGCAGAGGTGCCCACGAAGGCTCATTCTGGAGTCTAGAAGAAGCTATACTGAAGAAGTCCAGAAGAGCATCTGAGAAGACCCTTCAAGTCACCCGTGGCTCAAAGCCGACTTGGCCTCCTCAGACCCATAGGTGGCACTCTAGCCTCCCAGGGGCTGTCCAGGGCCTACAGGAAGGGGTCATAAGCCAGAGAGAGGGCAAAGGTGGACACTGCCTCGAGCTTTCTGGATGCCAGCACTGCCTCTCTTCTCTTTTTCTTCATGACCCCTAGGCAGTGATCTTGGGGATCTTTGCCTAGGCCAGTGGTTGTGACAGCCACGACTTCCAAGACCCTTCTCTGAAAGGCTGAACCTCAGTCTGGCAGTGACTGGAGACCTGTGGGTACAGGACCAGCACCTACTAGCTCCTCTGCTGGAAGCTGCTCCTTGGTCTCAGGGGTGTTGTGAAGCCCATGGAAGTCCCTGAGTCCACAGAATTGTGCCTGGACCACCCAGCAGCAGGATCCCTGATCTCCACCTCTGTGTGCCCTCTGGATCCCCAGAGGCTCCGGGAAGGAAGTACACCACCCTCTGCTGGCATTGCCCCAGGCACACACAGCAGCCTCCTCACAGCGGCCTACACGGCAGGCCACAGCGGACCTTACAGTCCACAGGGGCATGGAGAGGAAGAGTTCAGGGTGCTGTGAGGCCCCAGAGAAACTGGGGCTGTCCTTCTCCATTGAGGCTATCCTAAAGAGGCCCACAGAGAGGAGGGATGTAACCAGACCACAAAGTATAGGTGGAAAGGACCCCAGGCAGGCAACCACCTCAGGCTCCAAGCTCAAGGAGCTCAAGGATCAGCCTCAAGGTAAGTGACTTCTGGACATTTCTTTTTGTTGTCTGGACTATGAGGTCCTTCTAGGTTTAGGCCGAGAGATGGCTGCTTGGTCGCTGTCAGTGGAACAGAGGACTAAACCCAAAGGGACAGTAGATTCTGGGCCGGTTGCTTTAGAAGCTTTTCAATTTACGCTGAAACTGTGATTTTTTTCAGGGAGCAAACACCCACGGGTTCAGTCTGTTGCAAAATAAAGGGACCCAAAACTTGTTCCTAAGTTTTCCCACAGCTGAGAATACCGGTCGCCATTCTGCACTGAGGAAGTGGTGGGCACTGTCTTTTCATTTGGGCAGAAATTATCATAAGAGGACTGATGGAAGAAAGGGATGTACCATGTTCCATAAATTACATAGCTGGGAGCCAAGGCCAAGCTCAGGGCCTGGTACCCGCAAACCCTCGCTTCTAGCACATTCTCCCCATGAGCTGAGCTCAGCCTGCATAGCTTCTAGTGGCTGAAGCTTTGCCCAGGGTCTATGCTCCCTGGTTCCCCACCAAAGCCTATGCCACCCCAAAGCGTGACCCCAAAGAAGTGGCCAGATAAACATCAAGTCTCCCTTCAAGCCAGCATCTAGGCAGGGCAGTGGATACCTGTCTGTTGTAGGAGCCTGCTGGGCAGGGGGTCGGGGGAGCTGATAGGGGAGGTCTCTGTCCTGCCTTGACCTGCTGTGTGACCTCAGGAAAGTGCATCTTCTCTGGTGTGGGCTTCATCCTCTGTGAAACAAAAATGTTGGTGCTTATGAAATCTCGGGGACCATTTGATTGGGACTCTCTAGGCCTGGAGTACCTCACAGAAGACTACCAGGTCTCTCCTTTCCCCCTTTTAGTCTAAGAAAGTGTTGGTCAGGAATCCCGGGGGAGGTCATGACAGCATCACCTCCTTTACACAGGGTCCCTGGCCACAGCTGAGTGTTTTGAAGAGGTCCCAGACAGCACTATGCTCAGCTTCAGGCAAGGGGAAGCTCAGGAGGCCTGCTATGCCCACATCAGGGGAGCTGGCTGGATTTGTCAGTAGAAAAGGGCCCCAGGCTCAATTTTCAAAAGACAGTTGGCATCTTCTGGTCAATGGAACACTCACAGAAGCCAGTTCACTGGGGCTTTAACCTGGGTCTGTCCTGCTGCAGCTACATAACTAAACTACCCTCCGAGATGAGAGAGAGAGAGAGAGAGAGAGAGAGAGAGAGAGAGAGAGAGATGGGGTGGTCCTCTCCTCCACACACACACACACACACACACACACACACACACACACAGAGAGAGAGAGAGAGAGAGAGAGAGAGAGAGAGAGAGAGAGAACACAGATCCATTCTCTTCTACCAGCATAGTTTACCTTCATCCCCTAATCTGCCAATACTGAGAGCAGGAAAGAAGTATCTAGGCCTTCACTGAAGATTCTAGCAGGTTCCATGTGTTCCTGCTAGACCCAGAACACAGCTTATAAGATGTTGGCCACTATAGCAGCCATGGTATTGGAGGGTGGCCCTCATGGCACTTTCACAGCAGTAGCCCCGTCTCATATGAGCCCTACTTTATAGAAGACAGAACCCAAAAGAGAAGAGACAGCACCTACAAACGTTACATGAGCAGTTAGCACTAGTTCTGAGGCCTGGAGGCTGTCCGCAGGAGGTGATCTTGGTCACAGTTTAAATCCACATATCCCACTACTGGAATTCAGCTGTCCCGAAGCTTGGTACAGGCCCTATTGGCAGTTGGTGGCTTTGGGGTACCCAGATGAAGGGTAACTGTGTCAATAATTCTGTGACTTCTACTGCACCAACTTTCTCTGGTGTGAAAATGTGCTGGTTAGCCAGTCATGCCAGGATAAGAGGTTTTCTTTTAAAAAGTGTGTATTTGAGCAAAACAAAAGACGGAGCCAACCCTTATACAGAGCACCAGTGTGTCAGCAAGTACAAAGGTAACCTAGAAGAGGCTGGGGTTCATGGGACGTGCTGGGTGCGCAGGGGAGGGACTCGAGAAAACCGACCTCTAAGGCCAGCCGTGGTCCTCATTCACAGGAGGAACTTGAACAAGTCGTTGCTTTCTCTGGACCTCAGTTTCCCCAAATGTAACAGGAAAGAGTAGAGACAGAACCTTCATAATATTCTTCCCAGCTCTGGCATGCCCTGGCTGATTCAGCAATAAATTAGTTGTTGGAAAACCATACAGGAATCTATGGTAGTCGTTTTCCCCTTTCACAGACTCGCTCCCTGCAGAAGGAACAGCCATAATGCCAGGTGGGGCAGGAGCAAGGTGGCTGGGAGGCAGATCCTGTCAATTGCCCATACCCCTCCCTGCCCTCACAGGAGCCCCATGCCCAGCCCAGGACAGGTTGCTTCTGGTTGATGCCCTGTCTCTCCTCTTGAGCAGCCACACCCCCACCCCCTGAGGAGCAGGAGGTCAAAAAACAGCACCCAGCACCTCTCCAATGATACCAACAAAGGACTGAACTCCTCTTTGTCTCATTTAACATGAACAGGGCTCCATGGAAGGGCTGGTGGACATGGCCTCCTATTATGGCTTGAACATGAAGCATCCCCTATAAGCTCATGTTTTGAACACTTGGTCCCCAACTGATGACACTATTTTGAGAAGCTCTGGAACCTTTAGTAGGTCACTAAGAGTGGGTCTTTGAAGGATAAACCCGGCCCCTGGTTCCTCTCTCATTCTGATTCCTGGTCCACTATGATATGAACAGCCTGTGTCACATGATCTGAGCTGCTCCTCCCGGCCTTCCCCACCATGATCGACAGGAGTCCTCTGAAACCATGAGCCAAAAACATACTAAGTTTTTCTGTTGGGTTTTATAATCACAGATTATAAAAATAAAAAAATTTAAAAATTTTAAAAAAAAGTAATCTTCCTTCCATACTCAGTAAGGAGCTTGGATTAAACATGGAATTTTAAGTCCAATACCCAAGGGCGACCCAAGCTCAGGGGAATAGCCAGGAATCTACTGTAAGAAGCCCTCCAAATGGTTCTGACATTGGCAGTCCAAAGTCATTCTTTGAGGAGGCTGGAGCTCAGAGAGTTAAAGTGGGTTATTCAAATCTACAGAGCCAGTACATGGAAAAACTGGGGCCAGGGCAGTTATCCAGCTCCCAGGTCAAGCTAGTGTGCTGACATCTTGAATTTCCTAGCAGGGACTGAGGTTCATCCCCTCATCTTTCCATTCTCATGATGGATTGGTTGGAGCAGTTCAGATCTCAACTCAGTAGGCACATCTAAAAAGGTATCTCTGTATGAAAGGGTGCTGAACTCAACTGCCCACCCTCTCCTCTTGGTCCCTGAAACCCAGGGACCTTCCAAAGTCAAGAGAGAGCCAGTCAGGAAGGAGCCTTTCTCCGTACTGGTGGCTCAGACTCTGAAAAGGAAGAGGTCATCTTCCGTGAATGTCCCTCTGAAATCACAGCCCCAAGCGGTAAGTGGAGAGGAAGGTACGTGCAGAGAAGACCACCAAGGAGGTGGGGTAGACCTCTGTGAACTGCCTGAACCCTGGGGAACCCTTTTACATTCCCTCCCCCATTTGTGAACCATTCCTTTAGCTTCCTCAGTGAAGAACTGTTTAATGCTTCCACTAGGCAGGCAAGGGACAGAGGAGGTGATGATGGGTAAAATCTGAGGCACTGACCTGCAGCAGGCTGTAGTCAGCCACCAAGAGAGTCCTTAGCAAAGCCACTGTGGGGTAGCCTGACTTCTACCCATCTTGTCTGATAGAGCTGGCTGGGGCACAGTGGCATTCTGGGTGTTTGAGAAATATCCTGTAGTAAAGTTCAGCAAGGTTCTTCTGCAAAGATCCAATGGTACTTTTAAGCTTTGATAGCCAAATGGTTCCTGTCAGAATTACTTTGCCATGGAGGTTGAGAACTCTTACAGACAATGTGCAAAGGCATAGGTATGTTTGCATTTCAATAAAACTTTATTTTTAAAAACAAAGCAGACAGCAGGTTGATTTGACCCTCATGTGTGTGGCTGCCCAGTCCCTGCCCCTGACTCATTAGTGTGCCACTCAATGCCCTTCCCACACCAGCCCCACTGGCATCTAGCTCATCACCCATCATTCTCCCGGGCCCTCACAGTCTACCCCCAAGACACATGGAGCTTCTCTCTGGTTTCCAAACTTTTCCTCTCTTTAGCTGTCTCACCGCTTGACCCTTTGAAAGACATGCCTCCTCCTGGCCTTCTTTCCCTCGTCTTCTCTTTCCTCTTCCCGGCGAAAATAGTTTCCATGGTGTTATAACAAATCACCACAACGTAATTCTTTTAAAACACAGAAATCTATTGTCTCTGTTCCAGAGGCCAAAAAGTCTGAAATGCAGGTGTAGGTAAGTCAGTTCCTTCTGGGAGCTATAAGGAAAGTCACAACCATGCTTTTCCCCTGGCTGCCAGTGGTTCTAACAAGTCTCGGCCTTCTTTGGTCCATCCTCTGCCTCCATCTTCACAGGACCTTCCCTCCCCTCTGCCTGTATCTGAGCTCACTCTTTCTTTTCCAAAGGATGTTAGATTCATGTTCACCCTAACTCCAAGGTGATCACATCTTGAGAGCCTTAATTATATCTACAGAGACTCTGTTTTCAAATAAAGTCACATTCACTGTTAATAAAGGTTTGAATGTGGGGGACAGTATTCCACCTACTGACTGTCCCCCACCGCTGCTTTTATCCTTTCTATTCCCTTTTCCCTCCTCTGTCTTCTCATACCCTCCTCCTCCTTCTCTCTTGCATTTCCTGAAATCAAAGCTAGCTGTGGGCAACTGGAGATGAGGCCTGTGACCGAGGACCTCAGCAGTCCTCATCACTTTATGATTACTGGCTCTGGCTGACTAACAGATGGACCCAGGAGCTCCCATCAGAGCAGACAGGAGCAGGACAGGGAGATGTAGTGGCTACTTTTACACAGCTGTGACAATGCCTGATGTTAACAACTTAGAGGAGGAAAAGTTTATTCTGGCTCGGGGTTCCAGGGAGTTTGGCCCATGG